TGCAAAAGATTCCCGAGACTTTTAAAAACTCCCAGCCTTGTTCATTACTCAAAACCGCAATCATGGGTAAGACTGCCGACCTGACTGCTGCCCAGAAGGCCATCATCGACACCCTCAAGCAAGAGGGTAAGACACAGAAAGAAATTGCTGAACGAATAGGCTGTTCCCAGAGTGCTGTATCAAGGCGCCTCAGTGGGAAGTCTGTGGGAAGGGAAAAGTGTGGCAGAAAACGCTGCACAACGAGAAGAGGTGACCGGACCCTGAGGAGGATTTTGGAGAAGGGCCGATTCCAGACCTTGGGGGACCTGCGGAAGCAGTGGACTGAGTCTGGAGTAGAAACATCCAGAGCCTGACAAAGACCTGAAATATTTCAGTTTGTGTGCAATGAATCTGAAATATATGAAAGTTTCTTTTTTATCGTTACATTATGGAAAATAATGACCTTTATCACAATATGCTAATTTTTTGAGAAGGACCTGTATATATATATACTGTACTGTTACATTTTAAAATGTTTATTTAAGGAGGGAGATTGGGAGTAACAGGAGTGTGATTGCAGACTGGCACATCATGACAAAGTTTACTGAACTTGAACTCAACCTGAACTTGGACTACTGTATCCCTACTTTGCGGATTTTCACTTATCGCAAGTGGGCGTGTTCCCAAACACCCGCGATAAAAGAGGGACCACTTTATTAGTTATTAGTTTTCCACCTAAAGCATCTCAACTCTAACCCTGATCCTAACCCTAACTGCAGAACTCAATCTGTGGTAGTACTAACTCGGCTTTGGTGCATCTTTTTAATGAGAAGACAGAAAAGAAATGAAGAAGCCCCTACCTGTTGGTCCACCTCCCTCTTAATGAATTAAACTTTAACTCTGTCACTTGAGGCTCACCTCCAATGTGGACTTCCTGATCAGACAATTTTGTAATCTTGGTCAAAGAATCAACAACAGTTGGTATGAAGAGAACTTCAAGGACCAGAGTTCGGGTCAGACAGTGTGTGTGTGGATGGGGAAGGGTGGTCGTGTTAGGACGTTCGACAGACTAGAACCTGCATTCACACACAGGTTTGTTTATTGTTGTTGCTTTCTAAAATAGGCACAACCTTTATTTATACAGGTTGTTAGTCTCATTGAGCCTAGTCATTTACAAGAGAGACCTGTTTTTAATCAGTTTAATCAAATGTTTACAAATGTTTAACAACCTGTTAAAATATACCAAAATGCAGGAAATGGCATCTCTTTTATTCCAAATTTTCTGGGGGAGGACCCACAGACATCGCCCCACCTCCACCCGCTGTTTTTGTTCCGGCACCAATTAGTTTACAAATTAAGCCCTGTTGTACAGATGTAGTATAGAGCTGTATGAATGGGTAAATGAGGGCACAGATTGTAGTGTAAAGCATTTTGAGTTTATTGATAAGAAAGAAAGACGCTGTATAAGTACAGTCCATTTACCATTTATAGGTAGATTGAAATCTGCTTCGGGCAGCACGGTGGCGCAACTGGTAGAGCTGCTGCCTCTCAGCGAGCTGGTCCCTGGTTCAAATCCCGGTCCGGGGGCCTTTCTGGGTGGAGTTTGCATGTTCTCTCCGTGCATGCGTGGGTTTTCTCCGGGTACTCCGGTTTCCTCCCACAGACCAAAAACATGCATGTTAGGCTGACTGGTAACTCTAAATTGTCCCTAGGTGTGAGTGAGAGAGTGTCTCGTTTGTCTCTATGTGTCCCTGTGATGGACTTGCGACCCGTCCAGGGTGTACCCCGCCCCTCGCACAGTGATTGCTGGACATGGGCACCAGCGACCCCCGTGACCCAAAATGGAATAAACGGGTAAAGAAAATGGATGGATGGATGGATGAAATCTGCTTCTGGGAGAAAAAAAAAATATTGAGTATCCAACTTAATGGAACTTCTCACCAAGTTGGAAAGTTTGCTGTTGGGGAAAGAGTTCAACTTTTGTTTTCTTGAGTTTAGCTTGAGCAGATGCAGCAGATGAAAGAAGCGTCTGCTTACCGACAGTCTCACGAGGCATTGTAAAATGTTTAACTTTCTCTGAAGGTTTGTTTTGCAAGACAAGTGATGTGCGAATGTGCTGTGGGGCTTCATGAATGAGTGAACACATCATAAATATGAAAAAAAAACAACAACAAAAAAAAACACCCGCTGAAAGATTTACTAAGTAGTTAAGACAGATCTTCCACCTGCAGCAAGGTACATACTCAGTCTCCAACTTTGTAAGGTATCTAAATTTTTTCTTTCTTTGGTGCATCAGTTAATCAACTAAAAAGTACATTTGCAGTTACATCTTTTACGTTTGAATGCACTTTTTAAATCATCAGTACCCTCACAAGAAGGAAAAGTGACCAAAACAAAGTCTAACAATATATGAATTTCTCACAGTCCATGATTATTATCCATGATTGCATTAGATTGGACAATTTCCCATCTCTGCGTTATACTGCAGCTGGTGGAACTGGCATTTTACGTGACTATGATAGTATCTACCTGTACGCCGTGTGCTGGTGTCTGCCCTGGTGACTGTACTGATGATGTGGAGGTCCTGAAACAGAGAAATGCCTCCTGCTGCTCTGAAGTCAGAGGCTGGTCGTCTGAGTCTCTCCACTCCAGTGATGGTGATCCTCGGCTCACTGGGCTGCAGAACCATCACCACAGCATCAATGGTGGGAATGGTGATACAAGTGTCTTCACCAAAACACCTGTACGTACAGAGGTAATAATCAAACATGGAGAACTCAGTCTGTGGTAGTAATAACTCTGTTTGATGTGTCTTTTTAACGAGAAGACAGAAAAGAAAAGAAGAGTGACTAAAATATTTTACTTTGTAAGTGCTAGTTCATTAAATAACACAAATCTGGACTTATGTCAATGCAAAGTCAGCATCTGTGAGACTAAGTAACAAAATAAACAAAACTGGAGCTTTGGTGTTCAAGAAGCCTCACTGGATTTTTTTCAGCTTGCTGATATTGATAAGCTTTCACCTCAAACCACAAATGGTCTTTTTCAGTTTTTTCTTACAGGTCAAATAAAATGAAACTTTCTACAGTTAAAAAAAAAAAAATCAACATATTAATTAAAAAAAAATCCACAATAGTCACAAAATATACAAAATGATCACATCAGTCCAGATTGGCACAAATTAAAGCATGTCAGCTTCACATTTTCAAAAAATCTAAACCCACTGATGTGCCTCAGAAACAGAAAGATGCTGTATCATATCACAGTCTGACATTTAAAGCATGGTCATTGTAGATGTCCACACAGGGTAAACACACCCACCAGATGTGCAATTTTAAATGTAAATAATTGAATACACATCAGTCAGCTGTAAGTACTACAGTATATGCTGTTCACACAATGAGGTTCATTCTAAAATAGACTGTGGTATTGATGAAATCTAATGGCCAGATGAAGAAATTATGAATGAATTAAAGACGCACCCCCAATTGTAATTTTTGTACATCTGTTTTCTTTAGTTTTTGTTTATTTTACTGTGCATGCTTGCACAAGTATTTTGGAGTTTCCAGAAGTAAAACAAAATAAATTAATAAGCAATGCATTTTATTCTGATTTACATGTTGACTAATAAGTATATGTTTAGGAAAAAATCTGCCTCAGCATTGGTCTTAGTGAATTTATATGTGTTATTTTTCTGAATACCTCACTATCAATTATGGTGAAAATAAAGAAAAAGTGATGAGTGTTTAAGGCTTAGTATATCAGTGTGGTATCGGTTCAAAAATCATTTTATTATAAAAAACAGTGCCTTTTATTTGGTGTCAAAAAAGTTTTTATAAATTAGTGTAAAGTTTTTACAAAAGTGTTTCATATTTTAAACTTTCTGGGATGTTCTGCTAATTGTGTGTGTGACAGTACAGTGTAGTGGAAAGGTCAGTAAAATGATGCATTCAACAACTGTAGAAACAGAGCATGCTACAACAAAAAAAGGACAATAAGACTATGATGTGTCTAGATGAACAATGGAAAAATTTGAACACAGCAAGACAATTCATCTTCCAAAATAAAGAGGAAACCATAAATATTCTATTCAACTCAGTTTATTTATATAGCACCAAGTCACAACAGTAGTCACCTCAGGGCACTGAACAGAAACATTCATACACTGTATAAAGTAGTCCCTGTAACGAACCCCGTATAATGGACCAAAATCACCACCACAAAAATCAATTAAATAAAGTTTATTAACTGATGAAAACGGCAGGATGGACCTCGGCAAGCTTTCGCAGACTGTGGACCGGTTCCAGGTTCCAATCACCGATCCACACGAACAGTCTAAAGATGGAGAACGGTTAGTGGTTGTGCAGGTGACGAGAGTGAAGACAAAGTCAGATGAAAAAACAACCACTAACCGTCTCAGTGATGATGGGGGTTCTGAAGCGCTGAAGCGGGTCCAGCTGACCCGGATGACTGCTGGAGGAGTTGGGTCTGGTGAGAGACGACAGTCGGCAGCAGCTGAAGCTTGCAGCGAGGTCTGCAGGATAAGTTGGTGTCTCCAGCACCGAGCGTGATCCAAAACAAGCGAGTGGTGGAGAGTAGAGCTGGTGGGGATGATCCGAGAGACGTGGTCGAGCAGGCGTGGGTCAGAACCGATGATCAGAGGCCGAGATAATCCAAGGAGCAGACGAGAGACGAAGTCAGGAGGTCCGTGGGTCCAGAAGCCGGGAGGTCGAGCCGAGAGGAAGGGAACAGGAAACGACGGGAGGACAGAAACGAGTAAAACAGGAATACAAGGACTTGAGAGGACAGGACAGGGACAGAGCGTGGTCATGAGCGCGAGGTATTTACTAACTAAAAGTGTTCAACTACCGGGCACCGAAAAAGAGTCAGCTGTGAGCTTATAAAGGGAGAGGAGGACAGGTGCAGCCAGTTGAGCGCAATCAGCGCTGCTGGCTGCAGAGAAGACAATGTTAAACTAGGAGTGAAGACAAACCTCAACCCACATGCAGAGAAAGAAAAAGAAAAACAAAAGAGTAGATCCCCAGAACCAAAACAAGTGAACAGAGTGACACAAAAACCTAACTGACAGACGTGATTCGTGACAGATCCCCCCCTCAAGGAACGCCTCCCGGCGTTCCACCAGGTTGCTCAGGATGCAGGCGATGGAAGTCCCGGATCAAGGGCTTATCCAGGACGTGACGGGAAGGCACCCAGGACCGCTCCTCCGGTCCGTACCCCTCCCAATCGATGAGGTACTGAAGGCCCCGACCCCGCCGTCTAGAACGGAGGAGCCGGCGGATGGTGTAAGCCGGTGAACCATCGATCAGACGGGCGGGAGGGGGGGAAGCAACAGGGGAATGAAAATGGGAGGCGGAGACAGGTTTGACACATGAAACATGAAAAGAGGGGTGGACACGTAAGGACTTGGGCAGAGTAAGACGAACAGACACGGGGTTAATGATTTTGGAGATGGGGAAAGGACCAATGAAGCGGGGGGCAAGTTTACGAGAAGCAACCTTCAGGGGAAGGTTCTTCGTGGAGAGCCACACCTTCTGACCCACAGCATACTCAGGTTGGGGGGTCCTATGGCGGTCCGCCTTTTTACAGTAGGCAGCACGTGACTTGAGCAAGGCGGTCTTGGCCCTCCTCCACACCCTCTGGCAACGGAGAGCGGCGAGGTGGGCCGAGGGAACAGATGCCTCCCTCTCCTGAACAGAGATAACAGGTGGTTGGAAACCAAAAACAGTGTAAAAAGGGGACAGACCAGTGGCAGATGAAGGGACGGAATTGAAAGCGTGCTCGATCCACGGGAGAGCAGAGCTCCACTTCTCGGGGTCGTTAAGACAGAGGAGCCTCAGTTTGCCCTCCACTTCCTGATTAGCCCTCTCAGTCTGACCGTCCGTCTCAGGGTGAAAACCCGAGGAGAGGCTAATAGAAATACCCAGAAGACCACAAAACTCTTTCCAGAAGTGGGAGACAAACTGAGGACCCCGATCAGAAACAATGTCTACAGGCAACCCATGAAGCCTAAAAACCTCACGAGCCATGACGTGAGCCAGTTCTTTAGAGGACGGTAACTTAAGGAGGGGGACCAGATGAATCATTTTGGAGAAACGATCGACAATGGTGAGGATGACAGTGAAATTGTTAGAAGGTGGGAGACCAGTTACAAAGTCCATGCCAATATGAGACCAGGGACGCGAAGGGCAAGGAAGGGGGCGAAGAAGCCCCGATGGAGATCGTCTGGAGGTCTTGGACTGAGCACAGGCTGGACAAGACCGAACGTACAGGCGAACGTCCCTGGACATGGTCTCCCACCAAAATTGGGACCTGACAGTGAAAAGGGTCTTGGCGAAACCTGGGTGACAATACAGCAGGGAGTTGTGACAAAAATGAATGACCTGTTTAACCTTATCGGATGGAACATATAGACGATCAGGTGGACAGTTAGCTGGAGGAGGACGTGTCTGGCTGAGGTCTCTCAGGTCCTGCTCTAACTGGGTGATGGCCAGGCGGGCACTCTCAGGAAGGATAAAACTCTCTTCCTGAGCCGAGGGGAAATTATCCTCCTCCAAAATGCGAGACAGGGCATCGGGCTTAACATTTTTCTCCCCAGGTCGATAAGAGAGGGTGAAATTAAATCGAGAGAAAAACAAGGCCCACCTGGCCTGGCGAGGATTTAGGCGACGAGCGGACCTGAGATATTCCAGGTTCTTGTGGTCAGTCCATACCTGGAACGGGAACCTGGAACCCTCCAGCCAGTGACGCCACTCCTCCAGGGCGAGCTTAACAGCAAGCAGCTCCCTGTCCCCAACATCATAATTTCGTTCTGCCGGGGACAGGCTGCGGGAGAAGAAGGCGCATGGGTGAAGACGTCCATCCTCATTGCGCTGACTAAGAATAGCCCCCGCACCAGTGCTGGAAGCGTCCACCTCCACTACAAAAGGCTCCTCTGAATTGGGGGACTGCAGGATGGGAGCAGAAACAAA